TATTTATATATAAATAAATATTTATATACTCAGGAAACCAGGAATTTATCAAAAGAAGCAGAATGTGGCTATCTAGAAAATCTGTTCCTGTTTTTTCCCCAAATAGTTATTTTCCGGCAATCTAATCCAGGGGGTGAATAATTGGGGGGTGGGGAGGAAGAGAGAGAGCTTTTCAACTGGTTCTATTGTTAGACAACCATGAGTCATAAACTTTTGCACTGGCTGCAAGACACCCTGATCTGACACTTCTGATCTCCTGCCCATTCCTCACCTAGAAACGTCTGCAAAACATTGTTTAAAATGATGTTCCATGTGAACCATTGAACAGTGTAATAAAACCAGCCTAAGGTTTAAGAACTGTCATCACTGCTACATAGAATTCTGATTCTACTTCATTTCCCTTTATGTATAAAATATTGCCAATATATTGCGCCTTAGCCAGTATAACGTCCTCAGAACAAGTTGATTTATATTGTTCGAAAACTGTCAAACACAATTTGGAAAATTGCAAAATACAGCAATATACAGTTGCAATAAACTGTTTCATTTCAGACATTTGGGTAACACTGTTGGCCGATAAGGTGGAAAATTAAGTCAACATTTAAGACAAAATAACGTTTTAACATAGCTCAAATGAGGAATGAAGCTGTGCTACTGAATGTTTACTAAAACATAAAAATGTTCTTTTTTCTAATATTTAAGTCCTTCTTTCTTCTTTTGCTTCTCTCAACCTTGCTGTAGTGCACGCTATAAAATATTCTACAATGTATAATGGTTCTGCAGCATATTTCACAGCAGACCAACTAAAATAGAAAGAGCTCCCTTAAGAACGGAGCGTGGAAGAGGAGATGTGGAAGCTCATGAGGGAGATCCAGCCTAGAAATAAGGAGGAATTTCATGACAGTGAGAACTATTAAACAGCGGAACAGCTTTCCCCCTGGAGTTGTGACTGCTCCATCACTGGAGGTTTTCAAAAGATCGACAATCATTTGTCCAAGTGGTATGAGGACTACTGACTTGGATGGAGGGTTGGACTAGATCATCTCCAAGGTCCCTTCCAATCCTGTAATTTTTGTGAAATATAGCTTTAAAACACTGGAGAGGGAGTATTAGATATGCTACCTTGATATCTCAGGGAAAAACTGAATGTAAACCTAAGCCGTAACAAATGAACATTATTATTAAAGCATAAAACCCTAAATAGACAAGAAAGGAAGTCTTTTGGTCTTTTTATTGTTGCTAGCTTAATGACAAATTTGGAATGTAAAACTCCAGCCCATTTTTAAAATAGGTTTTGCCCTTGGAAGATGGAAATGTTGTTATTTGCTCAATCCAGGTGTGAAAGCACGCACACTTTATTCTTGGATGCTTCCAACTGAAAAGAACGGAACAAATAATCATGTGGCACATTAAGAGATGATAAAAATATCTAGGACTTCATCTGTGCAGAAGGATGACAATAGTAGCTCTGGCCTCAGCTCTCTACCATAAGAAAACACAGAAATGTGGGCTCTTTTAAATTCAGGTCTTCCTGACAGGAAAAATATGAATGCCTAGCAGCTCCTAGGCTGACAAAATGTAAAGAAATAAACACCAACATTATTATTCTAACACCAGAATCCAGATTCTGGTGGGAAGGATGGCTTCTAAAAAGGATGGAGAGAGTAATTAAGGCAGAAAGTCTTCCATCCGTGGCCAGAATCAAACCTAGATTCAAACCGGAGCTGCTGAGGATATATAACCTTGGACCATCCTGTTCTAATTAGGTTGCTTCTACCAACTTAACAGGAACCAATGGAACATGGTTGTATCATGTAATTAAGGGCATCTCCAGGTGTGCCCAAGTCACAGCTCATCTGTCAGAACTGCACTGGTGATCAATTAGATTTTAGGTGCAATTCAAGATGCTGGTTGTCACCTTTAAAGCTGAACATGGCTGGCATGTTTACAGAACCATTTTCTTCCAGCTGTTTGCTCATCCAACAAGATCTGGTAGAGAGATCCCATCCTTGAGGGACCAGAGGTCTTTTTATGTAAGCATGTCCCCCCCACCCCTAATTTGGAACAATGCTCTATCTGGAGTCAGGTCAACATCAGCCCTATTTGCTGCTCAAGAAAGTCATCACCACCTATTCTGGAGAGCCTTTGAAGATTTATGATACGGCATGTTTCTTCCTTGCAGCAGGCAATTGTTACTGCTATGAATGTTTGACTTGGTGCCTTAACGGCAAGCAAGATTGATTGTTATTGGGTTAATGTTTTTTTTTTCCTGTTGGTTTTTTTTTTCCTATATAATTTTGTATAATTTCTAAGCCACTTAGAGCCTTCTTGGAACTGATCAGCATATAAATTGCAGTAATAAATTAATAAGTATGTCTTCTCCTTTTGCATTTAGTGGATTTTTACTCTTCTTTAAAGGAAGCTCTCAGAAGGCAAACGTTTTAAATGTTTTAAAAACAAAACTATTCAATACAAGCAAAAACATACATATCATACATACATATACACACGTACATATACCAGAGTCAACAGTAAGAACAATTATGTGTTATGGGAAAAGTATTTAAGAAACGCATAGAAAAATAGGACAAGCAGAATGTCACAAATTGTGAAACCATCACAAGGAGTTGCTGTCCATGGTACTAATGTTTCTGATCAGATTTTTGGTGGGCTAAGAGGAAGCTGAGATCCATGTTAGGGACTGGACAATTCAAGTAAGAACAACCCAAGAGTAATTTTATAGTTTAGATCCAGCTCTTGACTGCAAAAAAATTTCCTTTGTGCAGAGCCTCCGCTCACTTTTCCAAATAGTTGCTCTGCAGAGCAGTCAAAAATGGGTTGCTGGTTTACTGTTGGCAAGGGCTGGAAAAAAATCAGCAATTTGTACCAAGTGGCTTGGAAGACACCTCAGTAATGATAGTTACGAGCAACAAACTAGCAATTGTGTTTTAACCTACTCATAATAATCACCGTTTATAGTTCAGTGGATACTTACAAATAGGTTAATGATGGTTAGATTAACTACAGGCAAGCCTGCAAAGAGAGAAAGAAAACCATCCTTTTCTTCCAGCCTCTCTATGCAAAACCACTGCATTCCCATTGTTCACCCAGCAGGCAATCAGGGATCTTAAACAGATTTGCCTGGTGGGAGGCTGCTCTTCCTTTACTCAGTGACCCTAATTAAAACCACCAATTTTTCGCAGCAGGAATGCAGCTAATTGCAATTAGGTTGCAGGAGAAAAGCTGGTTGCTCCCTTTTTCTCTTCCAGTTATGATCTGAGATGGTGGTGGTGGGGAGAGGCTTGATGGTTATCAGTGGCGCAAGCAGATTCCTAAATGCTGTTGCAGGCAGCGGCTCATGCAATCCAAGAACCTGGCCCACCGTGGCATGCTGCAAGGGTTAGCCACCCACCCTTCCAAAGCTGCCTTCCTTCACCTTGGCAACCAGCCCCACCGGATCCCCAGGAGCTCACCTGCAGAGCCCACGACCCGGCCACCCAAACCAGCCCCACAGATGTCCAGCAGGGATTAACCGCTGTCAAAACTGATGCCAACTAAAGGCAGCCAAAAAATGCTCCGACCGGTGCCGCTAAAGGGCAAACTCTGCCCAAGAAGCAGTGGAGCTTTTTTGGGGGGCGCGGGGGGAGGGGGAAGAAACTGCCCTTCTGAAACACAGCTGAAGCCCCCCCTTCCCCTCCCCTCTGAGACATCACCCAGCGTTTGAAAAGACAGCACGAATCCACCGCAAAACTCTTTCCATCCAATACATGGAAATGTATTTTTTTGGGGGGGGTGTCAGATTTTCCCACGCCCGCCCCACGGCTTTCAGGCAGCAAAAAGGGACATCGACATAGTTCGGAGGGAGTTTCCACGCACAGTACTCGCTGTCCCCCCTCCCTCCGGTTACGGGACGGGACGGTCGCTGTCCCTCAGCCCGACCCGACCGTGGGGGCTGCGTGTGGGGGGCGGATGGAGGGGGATTGCAAAGGGGCCTCCCCAGCCCCAGCACGCCTTCTCTTTAACTGCGACATCAGGCGGGAGAGGCCACGTTCCAATCACCCCCCTCCCTCCCCCCCCATATGCGCCGCCGCAAACGGCGTGCGCGAGACTATGAAAGGGCGCCCTTTGGGAGGCTCAGCCCCCCCCACCTCATTCCTCTCAGCCCCCCCAATTTGAGGGAGGGGGGCGGGTGGCCTGGCCTGGGGTCCCTTTCCTTCCCCGCCGCCTTCGGGCTCCTCTCTCTGCCTTCCGAATGGCCGCTCGCTTCCCTTCATTACCTCCCAGCCGACAAGCGTGCTTCTCCTCCGGCTCTCCCGGATGGCATCTGCCAGCAAGCGAGCGCGCGCGCCGAAGGACCGTCTGCCGCTCTCTCCAACGCAACGCCTGTCGGCTTTCCCCTCTCCTCCGCCCCCCCACTCCACCGCCTCACCTCTACTTGGCTTTTTTTTTTCCCCTCTCTCTCCCGTTAGCCAATTCCTTGACGGCTTGCTAATCCGGCCTCCCAATCACCGGTCGCCTTGATGCGACCTCTTCGCGAAGCCGCTACCGCCATGCCATCTAAAGGCAACGACAGGTTTTGGTTTTTTTTCCCCTCCCTCCTCCCTCCTCCCTCCTCCCTCCCAACCACAGCTCTTTCCGCTTTCCCTTTTGAGGAACCGAAGGGCGGGAGGAAAGAAAAGCGCTCGGGCAACCATAGCAACGGCGAGAGGAGGTTCTTTTTTTTTTTTTATTCTCCTCCCTCCACTCCCACCTCCCTCCTCTAATCCCGACGGTCGGGAGCGCCGATTGGTCAGAGAGGCCAGCTAAGGCGTACGTGTGTGTCTGTGTGTGTGTGGGTTTTTTTTTTTTTTTGCGTTTCCGGCTGAAGGGAAAGCAGCGGAGGGAGGGGGGGCGGAGTGGGACAGAGCGTGAGGCGTTGCGGTTGCTCCGAAATTGGAGGATTTAAAGAGAGGGGGGGGGGGGTTTAAAAAAAAAAAACTGGGGGGGGGGGGGGGGGGGGAGGGAGGGGAGGTGTTGAAGAAGGTGCCGGGGTGCTTCTGCGGCCTACCTTCCCTGGCCATGGTGGCGGTAAAGCCGCAGCCCTGACGAGGCTCACGGGCAGGAGGACCCTTCCCTCCGTCAGTTTTACCTCAGGGGGGCTCTCTCCCCGCATTTTCACCTGTCGGCCAAGAACACCTGTCCCCCCTCACCGCGGCCCTCCCGGTAAGTAGCGCCTGCTGGGTTGGGTTGCCTTGCGCGCTTCCTCGGCGCCTTCAGGTTTAGTTGGCTCCCTTTGAGGGCAGCTGCTGGGCCCTCCGTGACGGGGAGCGCTGGGGATTAAGGGTCCCCGGAGCGGTTGTGGTTAGGGAGACGGTCCAAGTTCCCGTGTCACGACCGTCCCCCAACGAGCTCCAGGGCCGACTGTCCACGGAGCCTGCCTACTTACCTCACCGGCCTGTCGTGGGATCGAACCGGGGCAGTTGGTTCCCCTCGATCCAATCCCCTCCTTGGAACCGCTTCTCCTCCCCCCCCAAAGCAAGAGGGGCCCCCACTTTTTTGCTTCCCCCCCCCCCCCCGGAAGAATTAAAACCTGGGGGTTCCCCCCCCTGCCGTGAGGGTCTTTGGCACTCCATCACTGGAGGTTTTTAAGAAGAGATTGGACAACCCTTTGTCTGAAATGTTATAGGGTTTCCTGCCTGAGCAGGGGGCTGGACTAGAAGGCCTCCAAGGTCCCTTCCAGCTCTATTCTGTTCTAAATTCTACATTTATTTCTGTTATTGACCAGCAAAACAGAACCAGAGTTGCTTACTGAACACCAATAGAGCCTCTACAGCCCAGAAATGAACTAAACCATCTATCAAATCATATAACAATACAAATAAAATGGTTCAGTTTAAGAATGGGGGTGTAAAAGTAGAGTAAGGTATCATGCCATCATGTATAGACCATGTTGGTGCAATTAAGTATTTGTTTAGATCAGTGGTTCTCAACCTTCCTAATGCTGCGACTCTTTAATACAGTTCCTCATGTTGTGGTGACCCCCAACCATAAAGTTATTCCTAAAACCATTGAAAATATGTGTTTTCCGATGGTCTTAGGCGACCCCTGTGAAAGGGTCGTTCGACCCCCAAAGAGGTCGCGACCCACAGGTTGAGAATCACTGATTTAGATTATGTTGCTCTCACCATTATTGTCTGTTAGTGAATACAGTTTACAATTCTTTTTTATTGTTCTGTTTGCTTTCCATACTCTAACTTGATCTTTTTTACACCACTCATAATACTTTGGAGCAAGGCAGTTTATAAGTCTTGTAATTAAATAAAAGAACCCACCTGGACTTCACTAACAAAGGGATATGCAAGTGATGATGATGATGACCCTTGACCTGCAATGTCTGAACTGAAAAGTTTATATATATATAGTCATGGGTAGCAGAGACAGATGTGCCTGGCCACAGCTTCCTGCACTACAGCAAAGCATTATGGAAACTTAGAAGCCCGGAAATTGGTTAATCAGCTCTCCAAGGTTTTCAGGGCCCCTGTCTCTACAGTACCCCTTTTGCAAAAGATGCTGAAGATTGAGTCTAGGACCTGATTAGACATAGGATAGTTGTCACTGAAGAGTGGATAGTTTTTACGGTAGTTACAGAACTAAGAATAAGCTTGGATATGCTACTTCAGATATTTAACAAATGTATTATAGAAAATACAGCTCCTATAACCTATTAAAGTTATTGTACAAAACTGAACTAGTGCAAAACACTGATGTCTATATCACATGTGTTTGTCTTTTACTGAAGTGAAAATATGGGAAATTTAATTTGGTACTCTTTTTTGTTTTTTTTACAAGTGGAAGGAATTGAACCCGGACTTGTTGGCATAACAATTAGGAAAAACAGGAATAGCCTTATTTTAAGGAGCTCATACAGCAGTTATGTTGGATGTAGATTGCTTTTAGGCCCTTGCTATGGATATTGTTCATTTGTATTAGTTTATGTATGTTCTTTTTATGGTTGGATAGTATTTTCTTGTAGTTTTTTAATTATAAGACACGCAGAGTCATGTGGTTGAGATGGGTGGCTATATAACTCAAATGAATAAATACTAAAATAAACAGTCAAGTGAGAACTTGTTTCTAACAAATATAATTTGTTCCTTAATATATATGCAACCTTTCCTCCTGGTACTCCATGCACTGTATCCATCTTGAGTGGATTAATATAATCCATGTAGTTATTAGCTGAATATCAGTAGGAAGACAGAAATGTTCTATGTCCTCAGAACTGCTAGGATACACTGGCTGGAAGCTGAGACCTTATTTTTATGGATTAAAATTATCATTTAATATCTGAGCCTGCTTTTTCTTTTAGCTATATAACTCTTATACTGTCTACTGTTATTTTGATAGGTAGGCACCTATTTAGCTAGATAGGTACCTACCTATCAAAGGAGACTATGTCTCTGTAGACTGTTGATTTTGTTTTGTTTTTGTCTGTCGGAGGTGAATAGTACTATTTTGACTGGAAATATTTATCCACTCCTGTTGCAGTAGAGTTTTCCAATGGGCTTATATTTTGATTTTCTTTATGAGTTACTTTTCTGGACTTTCCATTTATCCTATCAGAGCTTGCCCAAATAGTTTCTCATAGAGATCCTAGTAGTAGATTCTGTGACAGACAGGACCAGCTTTAATTTAGAAATCAGATTTTTTTAAAAAAAAAAATTGATTTAATTTCCCATGAAAAAAAAGGAACACTTTGGTTTTAAGTTAGCCTTTTATTTTAAATTCTGAGAAAAATCACTTTGAATATCAGAAATTTCAAAGTAGCATCCCTCAAATGTTAACTTTGTCAGCTGTTTAAGACTGAGGAACCTTTCAAATAAGGATATTTTGATCGATACAAATATGTTTTTATGGTTAAATATTTCAGAGTGTTAAAAGCTTGTTAAAAGAGTTAACTTGGAAAGGTTTTTTTTTTGGTAACTGAACACTAAATTATATTTGCTGTATTAAGAGCTTTATAATTGTGAAATAGAGTGTTCTGCTAAAACAGTAATGAACCTAAATTGAGTCAAGTGAGCAATGGTATATTGATGAATAATGAATATGCATCCATTTGCATAGACACTAAGGGAAGCGTTTAAATTGTGCATAACAAGTCCTTTTCATTTATTAAAAAAATCTGGCATGTTGATAAACATATATGCTATATATGAAACTATACCTTTACATTGTGAAATAGTGTATATCTAATATATCTTCAGTGAATACATTTAACATCTCCTTTGAATCAGGAGTGAGTATAAATGATATTTCCAATATTACTTGGATAGCAAATTGTAATAAAGACCATGCTTGAAGTATTTGTTTTGTACTTGGTTGGTTAGTGATGCATTAATTCATTTGTTTCACAGACAGGTCATTATTACATTTATTTTTAAAAAGGAAGCCAAAACTTTATTGCTATAGTTGCATATGCAATTTTAAAACCCTGCATTGAATATGTAAGTACACTTAGCAACATGTTTGTTTCTTATGTGTTAAAAGGTCTCAGTGATTCTCTCCTCACTTTAGTTCTAGTAGCAACTTCTTTTTGCTGGTGCTTTTCACAGCAACATAGTGTAGGGTGAAGTGACTTAAGGAAAAAAATCAGTATGACTGAGAGATCCCAAATGCTATTATTTTAATAAAGAAAAATTGGTGTTAAGTTATTCATACATTGAATGAATACTGAGTAATTTAGAATATGGCCCATACTTAAAAACATCCAGCAGCAGCAGAAAAAAAAAATCCTCCAAGAGTTCTTTTGCAATTTGTCCTCCTATGTGTATCTTTAAACCATGCTGTAACTCTTTAATTACAAGAAGCAAATAACTGATTTTTTATAACAGCCTGTTGTCTCGTTAATAATAAAAAGAGTTAAAAAAACAGCTGGAGTTAAAGTTTGCAAATTTGGCCTTTTTATGTAACTTACAGTGAGTATATGAACTACGATATTATACCAGATGAATATCTGGTTTTGCAACAAAGTTATATTCATTGTGCCACGTACTGTAGACTTCCACATTTACAGAAGACAGAACTGAACTTTGATCTCTTCCTATGTTCTCATGGTGTTTTAACGAAGGCAAACATAGTAGCAGTAACCTAATTCTGTTAGTCATCCTGGAGCAAAATGTAAAATTAGATGCAAGGCATAGATGAATCCAGCAGTGTTATGATATAGGCAGACTAGACAGCTCGCTGTCATAATTTAATGACTACCTGCCATACATGGGAGTTCAGGCTGTCATATGTCTTCCAGCATTGTTGACTCCTAATGCAAGCTGAAAATGTACCCTAGAATCCTCTGCAGTATTTCAGGAGCTTTTCAGGTGAACTTTCTTTTCATGTGCAGCCACTGCAGAAGTTTTGCACTGATTCTGGCATGGCCGATCCCTTATGTAATCCAATAATGTGATGAACAGGCTATCCAAGTCATCAGGAACAAACTTCTATGTTTTTTTCTAGGATAATAATACCAATCTAACCCAGTGCTTATTGTCATGTGGATACGTTATTCTATAGGAAAGAAAAGGGAATTTTATGATGTTTCAGTATTTAAATTGATTTAACAATATCCAGAGCTAAATTGCTAGTAGATTTTGGAAACAGCAAAATTTACTAGTGAGGCAGTTCAGATGCAGTAATGAAGTTCCCTCAGATTGAAGCTGCCTCTTATTATAATTTTGCCTTGTTTTTCCCTTCACTGTTCGTTTTCCACGGTGAACCACAATAACCAGATTATAAAATTTGCTTTGCTTTGGGAAAGAGCCAAAGTTTCAAGTTACATCACATTTTTGGTTCCAGCAACTAAATACCACAGTTTTGTAGTGACCCTACCAGACAATGCAAGCCTTTGTGGTACAAGAAAAAGTGGAAGGGCATATTCTCTTCATCTATGTTATGATCTAGTCACCAAAGTATACACTTTTGTAACACACTGGACTGTACTGAGGTTATTTTACCAATAGAAGAGAATATAGATATGATTGCACTATGGAGTTCCTTGATTGTTTACTGCTTATTGGGTATTAATCCTATTTTCTGTATGTTATTTCAGGACAGGTAGTCCTCAACTTACAACCACAATTGAGCCTCAAATTTGTTGTTAAGTGAAACATTTGTTAAATGAGTTTTGCCCCATTTTACAACTTTTCTTGCCACCGTTGTTAAGTGAATCACTGCAATTGTTAAATTAGTAACCCACTTGTTAATGAATCTGGCTTCCCCATTGACTTTGCTTGTCAGAAGGTTGCAAAAGGTGATCACATGACCTTGGGGCACAGCAACGGTCATAAATATGAACCAGTTGCCCAGCATCTGAATTTTGATCACATGATCATGGGGATGCTGCAACGGTCATAACTGTGAAAAATGGTCATAAGTTACAATTTTCAATGCCATTGTAAATTCAAATGGTCACTAAATGAACTGTTGTAAGTTGAGGACTAACTGTAGTTATTTTTTATATAGGCATAAGACTAGGGAAGTTCATTGAGAGTTAAAATAAAGGTAGAATCATTCTTGATAGAATTCCATTTAAATTTAATAAAAGAAACATGCCTGAAATCAATACAATTTATACAGTACAGTTAGTCCCCGACTTACAACAGTTCACTTAGTGACCGTTCGAAGTTACAACAATAAAAAGTGACTTATGACCATTTTTCACACTTACAACCGTTGCACCATCCCCATGGTCACATGATTTACATTTGGATGCTTGACAACTGATTAATATTTATGACAGTTGCAGTGTCCCTGGGGGTCATGTGATCATCTTTTGCAACCTTTTGACAAGCAAATTCAATGGGGAGCCGAGGTGGCGCAGTGGTTAGAGTGCAGTACTGCAGCTACTTCAGCTGACTGCTAGTTCAGCAGATCAGCAGATCAAATCTCACTGGCTCAAGGTTGACTCAGCCTTCCATCCTTCCGAGGTGGGTAAAATGAGGACCCAGATTGTTGGGGGCAAAATGCTAATGCTAATGCAATATGCTAATATGCAATATGCTATATGCTAATTTTGTAAACCGCTTAGAGAGGGTTGTAAAGCACTGTGAAGCGGTATAGAAGTCTAAATAAAAAAAATGGGGAGCCAGATTCACTTAACAACCATGATTTAACAACTGCAGTGATTCATTTAACAAATGTTGAAAGAAAAGTCGTAAAATGGGGCAAAACTCACAACAAATTTCTCATTTAGCAAACATAGAGCCTTGGTAGTACAGTGGTTTAAAGCACCCTGTTATTAACACAGCTGCCTGCAATTACTGCAGGTTCGAATCTTACCAGGCTCAAGGTTGACTCAGCCTTCCATCCTTTCTAAGGTAGGTTAAACTAGGACCCAGTTTGTGGGGGCAATAAGATGACTTTGTATAAATATACAAAAATATGAAGGCTATTGCTTAACGCATTGTAAGCCGCCCTGAGTCTCCGGAGAAGGGCGGCATATAAATCAAATTTAAAAAAATAAAATAATAATAATTCTGGGCTCAATTGTGGTCGTATGTTGAGGACTACCTGTAGCTGCAAGCAAAGGATTGCAACTTTATTTAACCTTCAGTTTCTCATTTTTCTAGTGGAAAGAAAGCTCAGGTTTTACTTGGCTAAGATTACTTTTTCATTGCAGTTCAACTGGTTGCTTGCTCCAATTTCTATCTTGTTTTCTGGCTGGTGCTAGGAAATACCAATAAGCAAGTGGTAACATTTAGTTCCACCTGTTTAGCAGATGGACTGCATTTGTTGAAGCATAGGTGGAACTAGAAGTCTCTACATGGATGCTTTTAACTTTCAAACTATGGCTAAAGCCTCCATTTAAAAACCATTGAATTTGCATGCTTTGCTTTGAGTTTGCTTTGCTTGCATTGCATAATTTCATAATATGCTACTGTTTCCAAATGTGGGCTGGTTTCAGTACTGAGTATTTTGATATGTGAACACAGCTGGCTATCAGTAAACAAATGTCAAGCAGGCAGCCTTTAGAATTATGTAGGCAACTACTTTGAAAAAATTAGAATTTGCCACATGTAGTTTTCCTTTCATGTATTTGTTTCATGTCTGAAGATTAATTGCTTTTATAAGTCATCATTTGGCCATAGGGGACCTTGCCTTTAACCTCTAAATTATATACCAGTTAAGATAGCTGTATGGGATTTTTAAAGATAAATTCAGGAGCAAATCTTAGAACTTAATAACGAATAGTAGAAACTGTTTTTTATGCATAGTGTTTATTCATTGTCTCAATACATAGGTATAATTGTTTTCCAAAAGTGATTGTAGTTGGAGATCGGAATATTTAAAATTGTATGTCTTTTATATTTAGAGAGCTCTGTGCCTGTCTGCAAAGGCCATGGAGAAGAGTTTGGAAAGCAGTTTCAGCATCAGCTTTTTGAATCCACTGGTACTCTTCTTTAGAAAATCTGCCAAGTGTCTGGGCCATCTTCCTCTAATCTACGTATTTATCTGCCTCAGTGCCCTCTCTTTCTGCACAGGTGAGACTCTATGCTTCTTTCCAAGATACTTAAAATTGTGAATGAATAAGTATATATCAATCTGTGCAATGTAAACAGATTTGATTTATGTTCTATGAATTATCAATGTAAAGCTTATGAACACCCATTGCTAAGATTAACATTGTAGGAGAAAAGCCATGTGGTCTATTAGTAGTCAACAATCAGAAGTATCTGGTAGCATCTTGTTACAGTAAGAAATTTTATTAAATGCATATACATATGTTTTTTTAAGTGAGCTGTTGTTCCTGAAAGGTGTTGCCTTTTAATAAATGTTGACTGCACCTTGAATATCATTATCTTGGAAATTGTCTCTTGAAATGCTTTTAAGCAGGAGTTAGACATAGAGCTTCCCACATTATATGATTTTTAGCCAAGGTTTGTTAAGTTGGCACTTTATCTACCTACGCCTTCGGACCATCTGTGTGCTCTGAGTTTTCACACAGTGTTTTTTCTCCTTTTGAAATACAAAGCTCTAAATGAGCGTGTCTGCTTCTTGTGAGCGTTTGGGTGCCCATCTTCCAATATAAAATACATGGTAAATGATGCCAATTATGTATGTTGTATGTAATTAATGTGTAGTGCTTTTCTATACCAGGTACTTTTTTCTTTCCACAAATGTATGTATGTATGCATATATGTATGTATCAAACTATCCTAAAATATCTATCTATCTCATATCTGTATATCTATATATCTATATCTAATCTATATATATCTATATATATACACACACACATACACTTATACATACACACACCATTTCTAAGTAGGACAAGGTGGTTCTATGTGCCACACAAAACTCTGATGAGGGGCTATAGCAGGGGTGTCAAACTCACATCATCACGGTGGTCTCACGTGATGTATCGTGACTTTTCCCCCCTTCGCTAAACTGGGCATGGCCAGCGCGTGACGCATCCGGCCTGTGAGCTGCAAGTTTGACAGCCCTGGGCTATAGGGATATGTAAGATTGTTTTAGAGAGAAATAGAAAAGGTAAATACTTAGCAGGAAATATTTAACTTTCAAATTAATTCCAAAATCTTAGAACTATACCATAGACACTTGCTACCTCTACATTCTCATGTAAATAATTTTGATATAACTAAGGGATTAAAAAGATTTAAGGCACTTAGGAAATATTTGGAAATTAGATGAAATATCTAAATAAAAGTTGTTAACAGGTTCTTTTAGTAATGATAATGACATTGTACAAAGACGTAACTGTAATTAGTTATTAAAGAGCTACATTGATATGATTCAGGAATAGAGTTAAAATGGCTAAATAGTTGTGTTTGGTTGAAGGTTCTTGATACAAACTTCCTTATAGAATGCCATTGGGTTCAAAAGCTCATCTGTAAGCTGTGACTCCCAAAGTGGTCCTGAAAATGGAAGGAGGGAGCTTGTATCACTTGCTGACTTAGCAGGTACTTCTCAGTGGGAGAAAGTTTTCTCTTTAAGCAGTCAGAGAAGACAAATCAATGACTCAGGGGGAAAAAAGAGAAGGAGCTTTAGTATCTAGCCTGTATTTGCAAGGTTAAAGAGGTATTGCAAGGAGAACTCTTGGAGAATACGGTAAGTCAATTTTATGGCCTATGGAAAATTGCTAGGATAATTTGTTAAACCCTTCTCAAAATAGTGCAGCATTTTATCTCAATTAGGTGCTTTTTCAAAAATATTTCTTCTAAAAAATTCTTATCAACTGGAAAACTGGTATCTTTAGAGAAGGCTCTTAAACTGTCACTGTTATACTTAAACTCATTATGTTAGTATGGTAAAATCTCTCTTTTCCTCCTAACCTCTGGTAAATTGTCTGGTGTCTTTTTTGACATTTGATAACTGGTAAAATTGACTAAGTTGACATGCAGTAAGTGAGTCATTGATCTTTAGCATTGCACATACAAAAACCATAGATTTTAAAGTCTCTTACATTTATTATCTTTATTTTTGGTTGGGATACACAGTAAAAGTAGAAATCACAAATTATTTAGTTTGAATGCCTCTGTTTCTTTGAGATTAGTTTTCTGTTTCCTAAATTCCACAAAATTATGTTTCAGTGCTGTCTTGTTCTTGATTTTTTTTTTAAAATGTAAAGCAATTATCATATTTCAGGAATATCCTAAATGCAGAACTAAGACACAGTTGAAGGAATAAGTACCCTGTACTACAATGCTATTGCCTGCTTCTCAAGCATGTTGTTTGTATTAAAGAGTTGTCATAATTCTTATCTTGCAAATACCGTATTTTTCGGACTATAAGATTCACTGGTGTATAAGAATCACCAAGATTTCGAAGAGGTAAGTAAAAAAAAAGGCTTTTGCCCTCTCCGGCCCCCAGGAGCACTCTGTAGGCCTCCCAAACCCTCTGCATGCTCCATTTTCGCAAAAACAAGCCTATTTTTCACCAAAATGGGGGCGTTTTTGCCTTCCCCTGCCACCAGGAGCACTCTGCAGGCCTCCCAAACCCTCTGCGCACTCTATTTTTGCAAAAAATAGGCCGATTTTTCGCAAAAATGGGACGAGCGGGGCGGGGCTTCAGGAGGCCAAAAATGGCTGTATAAAACACACCAACATTTCCACCCTCTTTTTGGGGGGGGGGGAAGAAGTGCATTTTATACTCCGCAAAATGCGGTACACCTTTCCTTGTTTTCTTTAACTCTTCCCCTTCCTCTATAAACATTTCAGCTTTTGTGAGGAAGTTGTTCACAACATTTTGACCTTGTTTCATATTTACAACAACAACAACAACAACAAATTCTTACAATGACATTTTTATTCCAGATTACTATGTTCCAAATTTTGTGCACATTTCAAAATATATACCAAAAGTTTTTTGACAAGCTAAGCCAGGAAACTTTCATAAAGTTTCAATTTTTTAAAAAAAATACTTGAGAAGGGTTTCTCTAGCAGATTGTACTGGCACAGTTTGTCTCAACCTCTCTCCTTTCAAAATGAATAAATGTATTCTTGCAACAGACAAACTTCTGTTCCCTCCTGGACAAGTGGATATTGTCTAGCGCTTAGTGTATTGCACATTAAAAAGTCCTGATTGTTTTCAAACAGTGATGTGATTCTAAATTGTTAAAATCAGTATTTTTCCAGGTGGTTCCTCTCTTGAAATTAAATATACTTATGTGAAGGAGGAATTTATTAATATGCCCAACTGCTTTTTCTCTAAAATGATTTTATTTTAATCTGTGTAGTGCTTGCCCTCCTTCCAGAGATCTGAATAGCCCCAAATCTGTTGGTCTTCTGGATGGCTGTAAAACTCTGGCTTTTCCTATAGGCATTGAGCTGGGTTTTTAATTGATCCCAGTAGAGGTGTATATCATAATTATAATTGAAAATGAGTAAGAAGCCTCAAATAGTAGTATACATTTGTGTGCAGGTTGAACATTCATACTTGCAGATGAAGCTCCTGAAACCTGACCCCATATCTTATGTAGACCTCAGTGCTTAAAAGATTCCTCAGTATCTCTCCTTTAAGAGCCTATGTTAAAGCTGTCACGTAATCTGTAGAGATTTTATGATGTGACTCTTTAATAGACAAGCTTATTTCCTGCTTGGTGGTTATTCAGGACGTCTAACATGCCATTATGTGATTGAAGCATATTAAAGCAAGCAAAACTGCTTTAGTTTGAGAAGCTTCTAAAGCATATTAAGAGTTTACGTAAGAAATTAAATACTACTATAGTTCAAGCATAAGGCTTGAAAATCAGTCACATCATTGGTGGAGTGATGAAATATATGGCGAATATAGGTGTCCCAGGATAATGTTGCAGGATCCGATTTGGGTCGGTCACTGGGACCAGAAGTTTTGTCTTCTGAGCTTCTTCTAGCAGAGCGAAGTTCCCTGAAGATGGACTCCAGCACAAGTCAGAAAGCTCGGAAGACAAAATCTCTGGTCCTGGTGACTAACCCAGATTAGATCCTAATGAGATATAGTTGAACATTAATTCACAGATTCCTTTACACCAGTCTTCCCACCCTGATGCTCTCCTCTGTACAGACCAACTTTGTAAATTGTTGGATTTTCTTCTAGAGTTTGTTAAACATCTTTTTCAGAACCAGAGCAAATTTCAGAAATTTATTTGTTTTATAATATAATCGTAGTTTACTAAGTTGTTTCAGCCAAAACACAAGAGAAAAAATACTCTCTGTTGTGGCCAAATAGTTTAAAAGTTAAGATGCTGGGATAGGGGCAGAGAAACTCAGGATGAAGTCCAGCAATTATGTACAGAAGCCAGCTGGGTGACCTTGCGCCAGCCATTTTCCCTCATCCCTAAATCAGCATCAGATTTGGAATAAGCCCTCTGAAAAACAACCCCCTTGTTGCCTCATGCATTGATAAATTTCATTTAGAGAGCACAGTGCAAAACAAACTGGAACTTAGTGAGACAAATGCTAACATAAGCACAAAGATAATGGCCGCAAACGGAAAACTTTAAAATTAAGCATTTTAAATATGAGGCAGCTGGCAAGAAAATATAATTAGGAATATTTTGCTTTGCCTAACTATATTCAGAAGTTAAATGCTCTTCCTTTCATTTCCTCCCTACCATTCCTTCTTCAAGCTGGCAAGAATATTGTGTCCTCTTTTTAATTACTCTGTAATGAATTGTTAGGAAGCTTGATGGATTAATCAATGCAATTGGCAAATATAACATCTTGTAAGAATTTAAATTGTTTTTTGCTGTAAGTTAAATTTGCCCCTATGTGTATTGGGGCCCTGGTGTGAGAGATCTCTAAAGAGCATTTGCAATAAATTCTGGCTGTCTGTTTCCCCACTGTTAAGAGCATTCTTTTGTTTTAGTTCTACTATTGTCTTTTGGGTGAATTTTGCAGACAGCCTTCCTTTCCTTTCCTCTTTCCTCTTCTTTCTTTTCCTTCCTTGTTTTGAAAAAGGTTATGGATCGCTCATTGACCAATGAATATTAATAATAAATTTCTGAATTTCACAGTACTCTTTTGCAATATTTAAGCAC